TCAGCACTGCAAGGAAGGAAGGAAGAGGCCGGGGGAGGGGGAGGGAGGGAGGGAGGGTGGAAGGGAGGAGAAGTACGCATATTAAAAGCTTAGATAATTTCCACAAACTGACCGCTCCTGTGTAATCAGCACCGGGATCAATAAACAGAGCATGACCCACCCCCAGAAATTCCCCCCTTGTGTTCCCTTCTACTCACCATCTGGACTTCTAAAAGAAAAGACTAGTTTTGCCTGTTCAGCTGCAAAGACTTCTAAATACCATTTCCCCACAAAATGTAAAAATCTCATCTTTTTCTTAAGATCTTATTGCATAGTTGTTGTAAATAACAAATAACTACAACAAAATCTCTGAGCAGCAATGCATAAAGATATAAAGAAGAAAAGTCAGGATTACAAAATCATGTAGTGAGCCACCATTTACTTTTAGAGTGTGTGTACCTATCTATTACAACATAATAAAATACATATAATAAAGAAAAGTGTGTATGTGTATGTGTATATATATACATACACACACACACATACATACACATATACCCATTAAACACATTTTAATCCCCAGCATTTATGATTTAAGTCATTTCTAAACTTTTGCAATTATAAACAATGAGCTAGCTGGGTACAGTGGTGTGTAGTCCCAGCTACTTGGGAATCTGAGACAGAAGAATCCCTTGAGCCCAGGAGTTCAAGGCCAACCTGGGCAAGAGTGAAACCCTATCTCAAAAATAAGAAAGAAACATTGAAACAGTGAACATCTTCGTGAATCAAACTTAACTTTCATAATATATTATTTTTTTCAAATAAATTTCAGAGTAAAAATGTATCAAGTTAAAACTAATGGTAACTAGATTTGCTTTGCACTGTTTCATTTAATTGCCTCGATAACCCACTGAGGTAGGGACAGCCCTTGTGCTTGATCCGTACTTTAGGACCATTCAGGTCCTGCTTACGGTTGCTCCCCAGCCACTTTAATCTGTGACCACAGCCTGTGTCCTCTCCCTCCTCATCCATGTCCCATCCCCATCCTAGATCAAGGAGCTGCAGCTGGTGCTGGCCGAGGCCCATGACAGCCTCCGGGGCTTGCAGGAGCAGCTCTCCCAGGAGCGGCAGCTACGGAAGGAGGAGGCTGACAGCTTCAACCAGAAAATGGTCCAGGTGGGCGGTGCCCAGTCTTCCTGCACCTACTCCATCTGCTCCCAGCACTGAAGGCCGAGGGGCTGGGGCATGGCTCAGTGGTAGATCATTTGCCTAGCATGAGTGAGACCCTGGGTTCCATCCCTAGCACCACAAACTTGAAGGCGAGGTCTTTGGGAGTCCATGGGTCCTCAGAAGATGAGATGGTCAGAGGAAACTCAAGTCTTCCAGTTCCCTGCCAGAGCAATTCCTGCTTGTGATTGTACATCAGCTGAGCTGGGCTGGAGTCCTGGGTGTGTTGTTGGCTGCCTGTGTGACCTTGGGCCAGTTCTGTTTCCTCTCAGGCCCTCTTTCCCATCTGTGAAATGGGAAATGCCTGCTTTGGGCCTAGCTGGTAATCAGGGTGGTAGTTTGTTAACAGCATTTGTGAAGCCCTGACTGTAGCCAGACCATGGAACACACTTTCCATACCTTCTGTGCTTTAATCCTGTGACTTCCCCCAGAAGGTGTCCCCCCATTTGACTTATGGGGAAACTGGGGCCCAGAGAGTGGAAACGCTTTATCCAGGCATGTGCAGGGTAAAGTGGTGCTGGGATTCTAACCCAGGGCTCTGGCTCTCTTCACCACGACCCAGCATGAGTATTTCATATTCCTCAGCCTTCCTGGGTCCCAGGATGCCCTTTGCCCTCCCTGGGTCACCCCTCCCTGTCATTATCGCACACCCCCACAGATTCCTTGTTCAGTGTGAGAGTTCAGGAGAAACATCCAGCGCTCCACAGGTGCTCAGGGAATGATGACGAGGGTTTTTTAGTTGGACCATGCTGGTTTAAATCCCAGCTCTTCCCCTGGGTTGCTGTTGCTCTTATGAGTTACTCTTCCATGGATAAAATGAGCTGCTTGTGGTGGAATTTATGGCAGGGATCACCAACAGATCCACCCAGTTCTCCCCCTGCCCTTGACCTGGGCCTGGAGTGGGCTGGGAGTGTTGGGACCCTGAACTGACCTTGCTCAATCTCCTGTCCCCGGCAGCTGAAGGAGGACCAGCAGAGGGCGCTGCTGAGGCGGGAGTTTGAGCTGCAGAGTCTGAGCCTCCAGAGGCGGCTGGAGCAGAAATTCTGGAGCCAGGAGAAAAACATGCTGGTGCAAGAGTCCCAGCAGTTCAAGCACAACTTCCTGCTGCTCTTCATGAAGCTCAGGTGGTTCCTGAAGCGCTGGCGGCAGGGCAAGGTCTTGCCCAACGAGGGGGATGACTTCTTGGAGGTATGGTTGGGCTTGGGCCTCCGGAAGGTAGGGGGAAAGGAACATGGGAGGCAAGGGACATAGCACTTCATATTCACATTCACATGTTTGTAGGGGAAATCAGTGTGCACCAGTCCCTACTGGGGCTGTGACATAGTACATGTAGGACACGTTATCTTTCTAGATCCTGAAACATTCTCAGTTCCCAGCACACCCGAAGGCTGGGGTGTAGCCCAGTGGTAGAGTGTGCTCTTAGAACGAGCAAGGCCCTGGGTTCCATCCCCAGCACCAAAAAAGAAGAAAAATAAAAACAGACACACACCTGCCCCAAGGATTCCAGAGAACAGGTTGTTCCCTGTGTATGTGTAGATCGTCAAAAGACTCTAGGTATCGATCCCTGTGACCAGTGTAGGAACTAAGCTGTTGATCCCTGTAGACTTGCTCCTCCAGCATACTTCACAGCCTCACTATGTTCCCAGATAAGTGGCACTTGGAAACCTCCTTTGTTTCAGTTAGCTTTCCCTCGCTGTGACCAAAATGTCTGAGAGTAACAATTTAAAGAAGGAAAATTTGTTTGGGGCTCATGGCTTCAGAGGTCTCAGTCCATGGATGACTGACTCCATTGCTTTGGGCCCAAGGTGAGGTAGAACATCGTGGCTGAAGGGCGTGGCGGAGGTCGACCGCTCAGCTTACGTCAGCTGAGAAGCAAAGAAAGGGAAGAGAAAGGGTGGAAGGGACTGCAGGGAAGATGCACCCTTCCAGGGCACCCCTCTCCACCCGTGCCCACCTCCTCCAGCCACGCCCACCTGCCTGCAGTGCCGGTTAGTGCAGCCAAGCTAGGATGGACTGACTGGGCCACAGGCCTCATAATTCAGTCATTTCACCTCTGAATATTCCTGCAGGAACACAGGAGGTTTGTGGGGAAACTTGATATCCAAACTGCAATATCCTTCATTTCATTTCTAGGACAGCAAGCTCTGGGTTTTCCTTCTACCTCTCTGGCTCCTTCTTATTTCCCTGACCTCACCTCGCTTTTTATTTTTCTCTTTGGTGGTCCTGGGCACTGAATCCAGAGCCTTGCACATGCAGGTTCTCTGTCGCTGAGCTCCTCCCACCTGACCTCACCTTGCAAGCTCACAGTCCCCAGGGCTCAGTCCTTGGACTGTGTTTCTCCTGTACCTGCTCTGACTGCCTTGGGGCAGCTCATCCAGGCTTCACTGGCCTTTCTTGGACATTGAGTTCCAAGTGTATACGTCCTGTCCAGGTGTCGCTCATGGACCCTAGATGTGTATTGTCCTGGGACAGATCCACTGGGTGTCTGATAGGCTTTGCAAACCTTATGTCCAAAACCAAACTCAGGCTCCTCCTCCAGCCCTGCTCGCCCAGTGGGTCAGTTCTTCTTGTTCCGACAAATGCTGTGGCAGCATCCTCTGCCCTTCTCTTTCCCTCACACCTCGTCTAATCTGTCCACCTCTCCAGAGTCTGAGCCATCCTCCACTGCCCTCTGACCAAGCCATCGTCACTTCCTGCCCGGATTCTGGCCATTGCCTCCTAACTGGTCTCCCTGCTTCTCCTTGACACCCTCCCACCAAGCATCTTGTGCTCAGAGGGTGCCAGGAGGAGCCACGCCCTTGTATGCCCCGTGAACGGTGCCCCTGCAGCTGTGCAGCGTGGCTCCAGCTGCCCCAGTCACCGTGGTTATTTCTGAGTAACTCTTCAGGATGCCTCATGGTCCTTGGTGCAGAAAAGATATTATGGGTCACGCTGCTTGGCCTGGACGGTGCCCAGAGATCAAAGTTACGGTCTGGGAAGTCAGTGAGGACATCCTCCCACCCCTGGTTGAGTGTGGTTTTGACCAACAGGTGAACAGCATGAAGGAGCTGTACCTGCTGGTGGAGGAGGAGGAGATCAGCGCCCAGCATTCTGATAACAAGGCCTGCGCGGGAGACGGCTGGACCCAGAACACGGTGCGTTCTCAGCCCTTCCCGGCTGTGTTCCTTTGCCCATTCAATAATCACTTTCCGGGCTGCGGCTGTGGCTCGGTGGTAGAGCACTTGCCCAGCATGTGTGAGGCACTGGGTGTGAGGCACTGGGTATGAACCTCAGCACTGCATACAACTAAATAAACAAATTAATCACTTTCTGTCACTTCCCCTGACTTCAGCTCTGCACTGGACACTAGAGCTGCAAAGGTTGTTCTTGCTTGGTCACTGTCCCCCTGTTCTCTATCCTTTGTGGCACGCAGATCATCCCAGGGCAGTGACAGAAGGCCAGGTGGTAGACCATGGGGTCACAAGCAAGAGACTAATTAGTTCTATTTGGAGCAAAAGAGGATATCATGACAGAAAAGGGGTTATGGATGGTGGGTTTTGAAGAATGAACAGGAGCTTACCTACTAGAGAACGGAGACAAGTCATTCTAAACACATAGAACTGTGTGTGTAGAGGTGTGGCAAGGTGTTCTGGAATTGGCTGTGGCTTAGGAGGTATATAATGGGGTAAAGCTCTCAAGCTCGGCTCCTATGAAGAGGGGCCTTGGGGCTGGGGCTGGGGCTCAGTGGTAGGGCACTCGCCTAGCACCTGTGAGGCACTGGGTTTGATCTTCAGCCCCGTGTAAAAAAAATAAAATAAATAAAAGAGGGGCCTTTATTTTCTGGGACTAAGAACTCTGTGATCAAGCCACATATGAGAGAGAAGAGGAGGTTCAGACTTCTAGAGCCACACACAGTGAGTGAGCTGGGTATGGGTGGGAAATGGGGTCGTGGGCCTAGGAAAGAAGATTTGGAATTGGGTTCAGCACAGTTAGGGAGGCTCCTTGGAGGCCTCCAGTGGGTCAGAGAGACAGGCTAGAGGCTGCAGAAAACCTTGAGGAGGCCAGATTATTCGGCTCAATTTAGGTGGAATAGTTACTACTGTGACTGCGGGAGTCTTTGTTCGTGTGAGGCTGGGACTCACGTCTGCCCAGGAGGGAGCCAGGGCTGGGCTCATCCTGGAGGGGACCTGCTGGAGGCCCAGGGAGCCCCGAGCTGGGTTCCTTCCCACCTCCCACGCTGCTGACCCAGGCCTTTCCTCTCTGCAGCCCAACGAGTACATCAAGACCCTGGCCGACATGAAGGTGACGCTGAAGGAGCTGTGCTGGCTGCTCCGCGATGAGCGCCGGGGTCTCACGGAGCTTCAGCAGCAGTTCGCCAAGGCCAAGGCCACCTGGGAGACAGAGCGGGCGGAGCTCAAGGGCCACGCCACCCAGGTGAGCCCTCCCCAGACACGTCTTCTGCCTCTTGTCCTCAGCCAAGCCCACAGCTGTCAGGTCTGGAACAGGATGCCCAAGCCACCTCCTGGAGGGACAGGAGCCCCTCCCTTCACCTTGTCACCCAGAGAGGACAGAGGCTTGCCTAGAATCATCCAGCACGGGGACCAAGATAGTGGGGTTCAGGAGTCAGTGGGCCAGGGAAGGAAGATGGAGAATTGGCAGGCACCTCTGCCCCTCTGCTTCCGGGTGACATGCCTGATTTGTACCCAGTGCCGTCCCTGCGATGCCTGGTCTCTCATTGCTGCTGTCCTTATTTGCTGCCTCCTATCTGAGGGGACCCCTGATACCTGGCTGTGGTTTGCTCCCTCCACTCAAAGTGGGAGTCTCCCCTACAACAGCCCAGTTGGACCAAAGGAACTTAAATAGGATCCCTGGGATTTGGGTATCTGCTTTGTGTGTGGGGACAAGTTGCTGCCCTACTCTGGTCTGAAAAATGAGAAGGCTGGGCCTCCCACCTGGAGAGAATGCTCTGACTCCACAGTGTGGGGCTGGGCTCCCTCTTCCTCCACCCTGTCCCTGCTGCAGGCCGACTTCCTGGGCATTGCCACCTCTGGGAGGTGGTACTCAGATGGTCTCTGCAGGACACATGACAAAACAGGCACAGAGAGGTTGAGTCCCTGTCTTGTGTCACCCAGGGCAGACCTGACCTTGCACTCCGACTCCTGACTTCTTCCTGGGCCCTCCGATCCCTCCTAGGCCTCCTGCAGACCTCCCAGCTGCTGCTCATCTGCATATTCCAGTGTCCTTTGCTCTGCTGTGCCCCAAGCTCAGCCATTCCAGGGCTCGACTCCCTGACCATAGCCTGGCAGGTGGGAGGCATTGAATCATGAGCTGGATATAGGTGTGCATCATCCTGCCACCCTGAGGTCTGCGGCCAAGAAAGGCATCGTGCAGAGTGATTTCTGCATATGTGCATGTGTGTGCATGTCCCCATGCAAGGCCCATGAGGGACAAGGTGGGGTTCAGCTTTCCAGGAGTGGAGCTAAAACACAACCCCATTAACCAGAACCTGCACTGTACCTAAGAGTAGATAAATACCGTGACAAGCGATAACTAGAACCCGCTACGTGACCTGGGACAAAACTGACTTGACCCCCTTAGAACCTCTTCCTCTGAAAAACACAAAGTGGTAGTTAAATTGCAGAGAAAATGACTGAAAACCCCACAGTGCAGCTTGGCTGGTGGGAAGAGCTCCACACCGAGGAGGGCTGGTTGTGAGGGGGAGGTCACCGAAGGCTTCCCAGGGGACGGCCCCCAAGGAGCCTCTCTCCCCTTCCCCTGCTGGTGCCCAAGAAGGGAGGAGGGAGAGTAGAGGGGCCCGAGGTGCCAGCTGCCCAGACTGCTCCCACCCACAGATGGAGCTGAAGGCCGGGAAGGGGCCCGGGGAGCGGGCAGGGCCCGAGTGGAAGGCGGCCCTGCAGAGGGAGCGAGAGGAGCAGCAGCACCTCCTGGCCGAGTCCTACAGCGCAGTCATGGAGTTGACACGGCAACTGCAAATCAGCGAGCGCAACTGGAGCCAGGAGAAGCTGCAGCTGGTGGAGCGGCTGCAGGGTGAGAAGCAGCAGGTGGAGCAGCAGGTGAAGGAGCTGCAGAACCGCCTGAGCCAGGTGAGGCTGGCCCCAGCTTAGGCTGATTTGAGCCACAAGGGAGAGTCACTGTAGGATAAGTTCATGGGTAGCATCTCCTTCAGGTATAGCTGGATCCAGGTGCTCAGACAGTGAAGTCTAGAATCTCTTTCAGATATAGCTGGAACCTTGTGTTTAGAGATTGCAGTAAGAACTAGGTCTCTCTCTGCCTCAATCTTTCAGGACTGCTTTCCTCTTGTTAGCTTTTTTTTTTTAATATTTATTTTTTAGAGTAGATGGACACAACACAATGCCTTTATTTTTATGTGGTGCTGAGGATTGAACCCTGGTCCCGCCTGTGCTAGGTGAGCGCTCTACCACTGAGCCACAATCGCAGCCCTCTTGTTAGCTTTACTCTGGTTTTGTTTTGTTTGGTAACAGGAATTGAACCCAGTGGTACTTAACCTTTGAGTCACATCCTCAGACTGCTTTTTGGGGGTTTTGTTTATTTTATTTTATTTTGAGACAGGGTCTTGCTAAGTTAGAGTCTCACTAAGTTGCTGAGGCTGGCGTCAAACTTGCAATCTTCCTGCCTCAACCTCCCAAACTGCTGGGATTGCAGGCATGTGCCACCACACCCAGCCGCTTTACTCTTTTCTTAAATTTTACTTTGAAACACAGTCTGGCTAGGTCGCCAAGGCTGACCTCAGACTTGTTTACGTCTCCTGCCTCAGCCTCTGGTAGCTGGAATTACAGGCATAGGCCACTGTGTCCAGCTTGTATACACTTTACTCTTAAGCAAGCTATTTCCAAATATGACCACTCTCAGTTTTATGCACGTAACTTACAGTTTAGCAATCACAATTGGAAAGGTTTCTTTCCCACAAGTTTCTGATTGGCCAGGTGTGAATCATGTGCCCCAAACCAAGGGACCAAGAGGAAGGAGTAGAGTGATTCCCATGGGGAAATTGTAGTCCTTAGACTAAAATGGTGGGTGGAGAGGTGGGGTGGGGGGATGAAAAACAGCCAGTGAGCAGTAAGCTGCTCTATGCTTCGTGTCACGTGCCCGGCACACCTGTCATCCTGTGTAGTGTTTGTTTTGACTTTTTTCTTTTCTTCTATTTTTTTTTAAATTTTAATTACAGCACTCAGTACTTCATCTTCATATAAGAATATTGCCCAGAAGGGTGTCCTAGCCCTGTATCCCAGCTACTTGGGAGGCTGAGACAGGAGGTTTGTGACTTCAAAGACAGCCTCTGCAAGGGCGAGGCACTAAGCAACTCATTGAGACTCTGTCTCTAAATAAAATACAAAATAGGGCTGGGGATATGGCTCAGTGGTCAAGAGCCCCTGGGTTCAATCTCTCGTACCAGGAAAAAAAAAAAAAAACAAACGGGGAGGAAGTTGTGGATGTAGCTTAGAGGTAGAATGCTTTATTTAGCAGGCATGAGGTTCTGGGTTCAATCCCTAATACCTAGAAGAAAAGGGGAAAAGGGCCAAATATTACAAAAGCCTATTCTCTCCCTTTCTTGCTATTTAAACAATTTATATTCAGAGTTTTATTTCCATTTTTGATTAATTGAATCATAATGCACATGTTATTTGCACTTTGCCTCTTTCATGGAGAGCTGTTCACAACAGGCTAGAGGAGGCCTCATCTTGTCTGACTGCTGCTTGACCTTCCAAGCATGGGGACACCAGAATTTAGTATTCCATATCGACAAGATCTAGATTGTTTCCAGTTTTTCTCTATTTAAAGTAGTGCCCCAGTGAATAACTCCAATGCACATTTTTCCACACATGCATGAACATTTCAATAGGATAGATCACTAGAGGTGAAATTGCTGTGTTCAAGGGCATGTGCATTTATAGTTGATGGGAACTGCCCAGCCAGCCCTCCAGAAAGGCTTCACCCAGTTGCACTCCACCGGGAGCACAGTGAGAAGGGCCTGTTTTGCTTTATCTTTGCCATTTTGAAACATCTGTTTATCTCCAGGTGTACAATGCTGTCTTACTGTTTTAATTTGCCTTTCTCTGATTCCTAATGAGGGCCTGCATCATTATGATCATTTGCATTTCCTCTCTTACTGCTGTCTCTAATCCTCCAGCAGCCCTGCAAGGTCACAGTCACTAACCCCCTTTTTCAGATGAGGAAACTGAGGCAGAGTGATATGTCCAAGGTCATAAAGTGAGTAAGAGACAGGCCTGGAATCTAGCAGAACTCTCACATCTGGCAAGTTCCACTCCTGGGCCCTGACTCCTTCCCTGCAGAGATAGAGATCCCCTGAGGGTCATACCTACTAAGGAGCTTGTGCATGGTGAGTGGAGGATGGCACGCTAACATGAGTTCCAGAACATTCCATGTACCATGTGGAAAGCAGATCAGATGCATCCATTTGCACCATCAAACGAAATTCCTGTCTATAGGAAAGTAGTTTCTTTTTATTATATTAACAATAGGATATTTTAAAATTATGAGATAAGTTCCATAACATACCTGGGGAAGCATATCGGCCCACAGGCCAGGCATACCAAGGTGCTACTCAGCTAGCTGATCCATGAACTGCAGCATGAATTAACAGCAATAATGGTTACTATATTAGATACAATGACATCCATCAGAATGCCTGCAAGAAATTGCTCTTATTATCATTTTCCAATCCAACTCAGGTAGCTCAGAACTGCTACCCTCTAGAAGGAACCCTCTGGCTCCTGGCCCATGATGCTCCTCCCAGCTGCAGGGCAGAGCCCAGGATGTGGTCCTGCTCTGGGCCTCTGCTCACTCATGCCCGTCACTGATGCGTGCTCTTTGCCCTTGCTCAGCTGCAGAAGGCTGCCGACCCCTGGGTCCTGAAGCACTCAGACCTCGAGAAGCAGGACAACAGCTGGAAAGAGGTGAGGGTCACCCGTGTTGTCTGGGCTCCTGGCTGGGCCATAAATTCCTTGCTTGTGGGGATGTGATAGGAGGATGTTAACCCTATCCCACAGGTCACACAGCCTTGCACCTCAGGCACCTCAGGCCCTGGGGCCCCTATGCCTCATGGGTCCTCCCCATGGTTTGGGACTTGGGAAGTGTCCTCTGTCAGGGTTGTGATTCCAAGCTGGGAGAAACCCCCAGCCTCTCTTGCTTTCACCTGTGCATCTGTGGAAAGCAGACCTTCCGTAGGCGTGGAGATCAGTAAGATCACATTGGTGAAGTCTGCACTTAAGGCTCAGGTGCACTGTCAGAGAGCAGCTTGCTGAGTAACCAAAGGCAGTGTACGGCTATTTGCATTACCCTAGTTCATGACCACCAGAGGAAGTGGGGTGCCATTTAGGAGGCTTGATTGCAAACAATGAACACTGATTCTGGGGAACTGAGGGGGAGGGTCTCAAGGGGGACTCACCCAGGGCTGGCAGCCAAGGAAGGCAGCTGTGATAACTGGTGCAGGTGCTGGGAATTGTGCCTCTAGAACCAGAATGGACAAGCCCAGGCAGTAGCTGCATGGTCATTGCTGTCATCATGAGTAGTCTTTCTTGTTTTTTTTTTTTTTTTGGCGGGGGGGTCACTGTTGACAGTACAGTTAGCACATTCTTATGGTGGGGGAGTTACATGCAGAGCCGCCAGAAACTTGACCAATAATTGTTCTGGATCGTTGCTGACATCATTGCTGCTCTTCAGATGAGAAGTCAAGTGTGGAGGGCCTCTAGTCACCTTCCTTCTGCATGCTGGTGGCCAGAGTTGACCCTTCCTGTCTCTTCTTTGACAGACGCGCAGTGAGAAGATCCACGACAAGGAGACGGTTTCCGAAGCTGAGCTGGGGGGAACCGGCTTAAAGAGGTGCTGGCAGCCCCATCCTGCCCGCCCCTTTGTCCCTCTCCTCTCCTGCCCCCTGTGCCCACCCCTGTGCCCCATCAGAATTGGGAGAGCAGCAGGATGTGGTTTCTACATAACCCAAATCACTCAGGAGCTGGAAAGCCCGGGGCCAGGGGGATTCCAGATTGCAGCTTGACGTGTGTTTCTTTGGAATACCAGGGCCCCAGTGCATCCTAGCTGGCAGAGAAACTAGGTTCTTTGGGGTTCTGTTTTCTGTCTCTGGGTTAGGAGAGTCACCATGGACATCCATTCCTGGGGCTATGAGCAGCATCCATTGGGCCAGCCACATGCTGTGACCAAGGAGACCCCCCTAGACTAGTAGGACTTTGTCTCTACCATTAGGAAACACATGAGTGAGGGAAATGGAACCTCACAGGAGCCACATAGAGTAGCCCAGAAGCAAGGAGGCCCCAGGGTGGGAGGTGGGCACTGGTGCCAGAGGCTGGCTTTGCATTCCAGCTGTGTGGCTTCTAGTCTATGACCTTGGGCAGCTCCTCCCTGCCCACTCTTTCCCTCTGTCTCTTCCACCGTCTCAACAGCTGCCTCTAGAGCTGTCTGAGTCGTCCAGTTTGTGTGATGTATTAACACATGACTGGTACTTCTGGCCTCCAGGTAACATGTGCCCGGTCTGTGCTGGGATTTTTAAAATATTATATTTTAAAAACGTGTATTAACATGTTAATTGTAGAAATATGTGTTGATCACGTCCATCCACCCTTCTTCTACCTCTCCTCCTCCCACTCCTCTCTATCTCTTACCCGTGGCTCCCTTCCCAATCCCTAGTAAGCCCTTGTCTACTTTCAGGCGGGTTTTTTTTTTCTTCTTCTTTTTAGTTTCCACATAAGAGAGAAAATATGCAATCTTTGTTTTTCTGTGTCTGACTTGTTTCACTTAACATGATATCCTCCAATTCCATCCATTTTCCTGCAAATGACAGGATTTTATTTTTCCTTATGACTGATTAATACTCCGTGGTGTATATATACCATAATTTTCTTTATCCACTCATCTGTTGATGGACACCTAGGCTGGTCCTTATCTTAGCCGTGGTGAATGGTGCTTCAGTGAATGTGGGTCTGCAGGTATCTCTTTATATTCTGGCTTCATTTCCTTTGGCTGTATACTCAGGAGTGGGATAGCTGGATCATATGGTAGTTCTATTTTTAGAAGCACGTGGGCATGCACGTGCCTGAGTGTATGTGTGCACCAGTGCGTATTGCTGGCAACTAAATCCAGGGCCTGGGGCATGCTAAGCAAGTGCTATTGAGTTAAGCTACCTATACCCCAGCCATGGTAGTTCTATTTTTAGTTTTTCTGAGTATCTTCTATTATTGTTTTCCATAGTGACTGTTTAATTAGGTTCCTATCAACAATGTATAAGGGTTCCTTTTTCCCTATATTCCCAGCAGCATTTATTGATTTTTTTTTATAATAGCCATTCTAACTGGAATGAGGTGGATCTCATTGTAGTTTTGATTTGCCTGATGGTTAATGTTATTGAGCATTTTTCCACATATTTATTAGTCATTTCTTACAAGAAGTGTCTATTCAGATCATTTGCCCCTTTTTTCAGTGGATTACTTGTTCTGTTATTTTATTTTATTTGTTTTTTTACATATTTTTTGATATTAATCCTTGTCAAATGAGTAGCCTACAAGGATTCTCTCCCACTCTAGGTTGTGTATTATTTTCTTTGCTGTTGCACAAGCTTTTAAATTCAATGTAATTCCATTCGTCAATTCTTGCTTTTGTTTCCTGTGCTTTTAGAGCCCTATCCAGGAAATCATGGCTTGTGCCAATATCTTGAAGTGTTTCCCCTGTGTTTTCCTCTAGTAGTTTCAGGTCTTACTTTAAGGTCTTTGATCCATTTTGAGTTGATTTTTTTGTCCAGGATGAGAAATAGGATCAAGGTTTGATCTTCTACTTATGGATCTTCCATTTTCCTAGCAATATTTGCTGAACAGACTGTCCTTTCTCTAATGATGTTTTGGGCACCTTAGTTGACAATCAGTTGACTAAAGATGTGTGGACTCATTTCTGGATTCTCTATGCTATTTTATTTCGTCTGTGCTTCTGTTTGTGTTGAAGATTTAATGGCATCTAAGTTTGGGTTCCCCCAGAAGCAACCCCTGAGATGAGGGTTTATATGAAAATATTTATTTGGGAGAAGATTCCAGGAAATACCTGAAAGTAAGACAGGAAGAGGAAAGCAGCCAGTTAAAGCAGTTCCCACCCACCAGGGAAGTAGGCCAGGGTGTGCGCAGTCTGGGTTATTTCCCTCTAACACCGTTTTTCCTCCTCTGCTCTTCCTAGGACCAAATCTGTTTCCTCCATGTCTGAGTTTGAAAGTTTGCTTGACTGTTCCCCCTACCTTGCTGGTGGAGATGCCCGAGGCAAGAAACTGCCCAACAACCCTGCCTTTACCTTTGTGAGTACTGAGACCGTGGATCCAGAGAAAGATACCAAGGAAAAGGCAGGGCTCACGCCTCAGGACTCCAACCGCCTGGGTGCGCTGGGCTGCCAGGACTCTGCAGGGAGGCACATGCAGCGCAGCTACACGGCTCCAGACAAGACGGGCATCCGAGTCTACTACAGTCCCCCAGTGGCCCGGCGCCTGGGTGTCCCTGTGGTCCATGACAAGGAGGGCAAAATCCTCATTGAGCCTGGCTTCCTCTTCACCACAGCCAAGCCCAAAGAATCAGCTGAGGCCGACGGGCTGGCCGAGAGCTCCTACAGTCGGTGGCTGTGCAACTTCTCTCGCCAGCGCCTGGATGGGGGCTCAGCGGGCAGCGCCTCGGCAGCCGGGCCCGCCTTCCCCGCGGCCCTGCATGACTTTGAGATGTCAGGCAACATGAGCGATGACATGAAGGAGATCACCAACTGCGTGCGACAGGCCATGCGCTCGGGCTCGCTGGAGAGGAAAGTGAAAAGCACGTCCAGCCAGACGGTGGGCCTGGCCAGCGTGGGCACACAGACGATCCGCACGGTCAGCGTGGGCCTGCAGACTGACCCGCCCCGCAGCAGCCTCCACAGCAAGAGCTGGTCACCCCGCAGCTCGTCGCTGGTGTCCGTGCGCAGCAAGCAGATCTCCTCCTCCCTGGACAAGGTCCATTCCCGCATCGAGCGGCCCTGCTGCTCGCCCAAGTATGGCTCGCCAAAGCTCCAGAGGCGCTCGGTGTCCAAGCTGGACAGCACCAAGGACCGCAGTCTCTGGAACCTGCACCAGGGCAAGCAGAATGGCTCGGCCTGGGCTCGCTCCACCACCACGCGGGACAGCCCGGTGCTGAGGAACATCAACGACGGGCTGTCCAGCCTCTTCAGTGTGGTGGAGCACTCAGGGAGTACGGAATCTGTGTGGAAGCTGGGCATGTCCGAGACCCGGGCCAAGCCCGAGCCTCCCAAGTACGGCATCGTGCAGGAGTTCTTCCGCAACGTGTGTGGCCGCGCCCCGAGCCCCACCGCGGCTGCGGGAGAGGAAGGCGCCAAGAAGCCCGAGCCCCTCTCCCCGGCCAGTTACCATCAGCCGGAGGGCGTGGCCAGGATCCTGAGCAAGAAGGCCACCAAGTCAGGCAGCAGCGAGGAGGCCAGAGCCACCCTGCTTCCCCAGGTGGGGAAGGACGGTGTGCCCCGGGAGGGCGATGGCATCTCCGTTCTTCCCAATGAGGTAGGTGGGTGGAGTTTGCCCTTTTTCTTGGGAGCGGGGATTGGCTTCCAGGGTCCAACCTCACGTGGATTTTTTTTTTTTTTTTTTTGTGTGTGTGTGTGTGTACTGAAAATTGAATCCATGGGTCCTATACTACTGAAGCACATCCCCAAACCTTTTCATATTTTATTTTGAGACGGTCTCCCAAAGTTGCTTGGGGCCTTGCCTAGTTACCAAGGCTGGCTTTGAACTCATGATCCTACTGCCTCAGCCTCCCGAGTCTCTGGGATTACAGGCTTGCACCCAGCACCCAGCTCTATTCATTTTTGTTTTTATTTATTTTTTATTATTTGGTAGTGCTGGGGATTAAACCCAGAGGCTCACATGTGCTACGCAAGCACTCCCCCACTGAGCTACATGCCCAACCCTTTAAATTATTGGATACTGGAGCTTGAACCAGGGGTGCTGCACCCCTGAGCTACATCCTTGCCTCTTTTTACTTTTTATTTTGAGACAGGGTCTTGCTATGTTGCCAAGCCTGGCTTCAAATTTTTGATCTTCCTGCCTTAGCCTCCCAAGTAGCTGCACCACAGTGCCTAGCTCGTTTGTTTTTTTTTAATTCAAGAAATATAGTCGTATGTCTCAAATAGTTCTTATGCTGGTATGACATGGGGATGAATGTCCCAGACCTGGAACAACACAAACCTGGAGACCACATGGTCTGAATGCCAAGAGACTAGTAAGTGGCTTAAGCAGGGGTTTGACTACTACACAGCAGAGACCTCCAGCATCCTCCAGGGAAAGGGTGTGCCCGCAGCTCTCTTGCCCTCACTAGTATGCTGTGTGACTTGTTAGGCTCGGGAGAGCCAATTGTAAGTGTTATTAAATATTAATTAGCCTGCCTAGGCATGCCTATAATCCCAGTGACTTGGGAGGCTGAGGCAAGAGAATTGCAAGTTTGAGGCCAGCCTCAGCA